GCCAAACATACCTTTTGGAATTATGGCCAAAAAGTTTAACCTTGGTTTCATCAGACCATAGCACCTTTTCCCAAATGCCTTTGGGAGACTTCAAATGTGTGTTTGCAAAATGTAACCGGGCATGGATATTTTTCTTTGTAAGAAAAGGCTTCTGTCTTGCCACTCTACCCCATAGCCCAGACAAATGAAGAATACAGGAGATTGTTGTCACATGTACTACACAACCAGTACTTGCCAGGAATTCCTGCAGCTCCTTTAATGTTGCTGTAGGCCTCTTGGCAGCCTCCCTGACCAGTTTTCTCCTTGTCTTTTCATCAATTTTGGAGGGACGTTCAGCTCTTGGTAATGTCACTGTTGCACCATATTTTCTCCACTTGATGATGACTGACTTCACTGTGTTCCATGGTATATCTAATGCCTTGGAAATTCTTTTGTACCCTTCTCCTGATTGATACCTTTTAACAATGAGATCCCTCTGATGCTTTGGAAGTTCTCTGCGGACCATGGCTTTTGCTGTAGGATGCGACTAGGAAAATGTCAGGAATAGCCTACTGGAACAGCTGAACTTTATATGGGGTTAATCAGATGGCAGGTTAATTGATGGCAGGTGTACTGACTCCTATTTAACATGAGTTTGAATGTGACTGCTTAATTCTGACAACAGTCACAGCCCCACAGTAAGAAGGTGTGCACACTAATGCAACCACATTATTTTAGTTTTTTATTTTTACTTCCCACTGAAAAACAGATTTCAGTTTATTTTCAATTGAGCTGTACAAGTTATAGGTCACATTAAAGGTGGCTAAAGTTCTGGAATTATTTATCTTGGTCTCGTTTTTTTACATCACAGAAACCTGGCATTTTAACAGGGGTGTGTAGACTTTTTATATCCACTGTAAGTCTAAACAACACAATATATAGTTGAAAGGGCACTCCCTAATAACACAACCCAGACACTAATCAAGCTATAAAGTAGATTTAAACAGCATAATAGAAATTGAGAGGGGTTACCCTGATAACCCCTTAGACACTAAACAAACAAGCGCATGTCTATCTTCACAGTTTATGGCTGGGCCCCTTTAAATCTGGAACATCCTGTAGTTGAATGTGTCACAGCACACAGAGTTCAAGAAGAAAGATAAGACATGTCCTTCAGCTCACACAAGCGGTTTCTCACAGGTCTCTGTTCTGAAAGTTTAAAATCCACTGAATAGCATATGTTGGTTAATATACTGATTAAAACACAGTTTAAAACATATTTAATAATGTAATTCTCATGACAGTTATTCAAATGACACAATCTGTATCCTAGTGGTGTGAACTGCTAGAGCTAAACTGTGATTCATGTATCTGAATTTGAAAAGTCTGTACATGGGCAATGACAGCAAATTATGACCTGCTAACCCTGCTTTGTAGTTTTCAGAAGTACCTTACTGTATGTACCTAGAATATGGGCAGATTAGTTTGCTGATGTGTGTTTGTCCTACAGAATGTGGCAGTAGGGCTGCAGGCTCAAGCGCTGAAGTTGTTATGTGATGCTGCCAGAAAGGCTGATGAGGAGCTTCAGTCTTATACCAAGGACTGTGTGGAAACCAGCAGCATTGTAGATGCATACATGACTTTGGCTGTCTTCTGTGACAAAGAACTACGAGAGGAGGAACAGACTGATAACAGTAAGTAACAGTGCTCATAACGCTGTGTTTCCACTGTCAGAACCTAACGAGCAGTATACCTTGTACTTTGCCTGGCATACCCTCCCGGGTTGACGCAGATCATCCTGCTTAGGGCTGGGCTCTGATTGCCAGTTCTGTTTTGGATTCGGTTCCAATTCTGGGTTCATTGAGCTTCATGCCCAAACAAATCCCTTATCAAACCTGTCATTCATGTTCTCTGTTTAGTTTACAAACTGTTGATAATGTAGCAAGACCGTATATGTTATGTAGCCTATTACATTTTATGTAAATAAAGTTTGGGGGAAAAATTTTGTTGTGACCAAACATGGTGGACCTGCTTAACCACTCTGAAGTAAAAGAAACAACTGCAAAAAGTGATATTTGCTGGTCAGTACTCGCAAAGAAAGGGGAACAGTTTGTCCTTTGTTTAGTCTTCTGGTGTCCATCATGTTAAAGTAAGAACCTGTGTTATATTTGATAACACGAGGATGAGTGCTCAGCCTCACACAGTTGACTGCTGGTGTAGTGTGATCTGTGAGATCTGTAGCAGTGCAACAATTCAATGCAGTTTTATTGGCATAGCACCAAATCACAACAAGTCATCTGAAGACACTTTACAAAGTTAGGTCTAGGCCTTATTATTATCATCATCATCATCATGATCACGATCACCGTCACCGTACAGGGAGCCAGTGGAGAGAAGCCCATAAGGGAGAGATATGATTCCACGTACTAGTTCCTGTCAGTACTCAGGCAGCAGCATGTTGGAGTAATGGGAGGTGTTGTAGGGAATTATGGGGACATCCTGATAGCAAAGAGGTACAGCCTGGAAGTAACAAATGCATGGACCAGTTTTTCAGCATCACTTTGAGACAGGATGCTCCTGATTTCGGCGATATTGCGCAGGTGAAAAAAGGCAGTTCGAGAGATGTGGTTTATGTGTGATTTAAAGGACATATCCTGGTCAAAAGTGACTCCAAGGTTCCTCACAGTAGGACTGGAGGCCAGAGCTGTCATCTACAGTAACCATATGATTAGACAGAAGATTTCTAAGGTTTTCAGGCCCAAATACAATGACTTCAGTTTTGTCAGAGTTTAAATGTAGAAAATTACAGATCATTATGGTCTTTATGTTTTATGTTTGACTAATTGATCTGATTCATCTGGGTTCATAGATAAATAAATATATCAACTGCATAGCAATGAAAATTTATGTTGTGCTTCCTGAAGATATTGCCTAAAGGGAGCATATATAAAGTGAAGAGAATTGGACCTAGCACAGAGCCATGTGGAACGCCGTGACTAAGTTCAGTCTGTGTAGAAAATTCATCATTAACATAAACAAATTGAAATCTTTCTGATAAATAAGGTTTGAACCTACTTAGTGCAGTTCCTTTAATCTCAATAACATGTTCAAGTCTCTGCAGTAAGCAGCACTGAGAGGACAATTATAGAGACAAGTCCTTTATCTGATACTAGGAGGAGATTGTTGGTGACTTTCACTAGTACAGTTTCTGTACTATGATTCCACCTTTAGATAAAGCTAGGTTCATAGTTCAGAAACCATCAGTGATTTATTAAAATGGCATTCACTGAATGGTAAAGTAGATTTATTAATTTCAATGTTGTGAAGAAATGACCTCACTGTTGTGAGCATCTGCAGCTGCAGCATGACCCCCCAGTAGGGAGCAAACAGCAAAACGAGTGAGGACAGGGTTAATGAACGCCACAGGGCAGTTACAGCAAAGGTTTAGGTTTGATAGTTCATATTGTAGTTAGTGTCAGATTTTCTGGTAAATGGACTGTAACAACAATTAACTTGACCCGTTGTGGTTAGAAAAAGTTTGATTCTTAACTATTACACAGGTTTTTCCAAAAAAGAATTTAAAGTTGTTTTGCTGCTGTAGTGCATGAAATTAAAATACATGTTTTGATGCTAACAAACTATACACACACACACACACACACACATATCCCCCAATGTTCCTATTACCACAGGGACCACTTGTGCCTTCACCTTCCACATCTTTTCTAGCTCTTCTTTCAGCCCTTGGTATTTCTCAAGCTTCTCGTGTTCCTTCTTCCTGATGTTGCTATCGCTTGGGATTGCTACATC